CACACACACACACACACACACACACACACACACACACACACACACACACACATCTTCCCTCACCCTAAAACCTTAGGGAATAGGTTCCATAGTTACCTCTGTTTTGCAGCTAAAAACACAGAAGCCTGGAGAGGTTCACCCTCCCAAAGAACACCCAGTAGGTGAAAGACAAAGAGAGTGAAACTAGGAGGTCTGCGAGAGTGCGCTGTGTCCCCATACCAGCCCTGCACTAGTGGCCTGCACTGGGCTCAGGGCAGAACGTGCCTGTCAGTCCTCAGCTCACAGCCAGTTTCCCCACTAGGGACTCCACCCTGAACCACACTGGAATCCACCTTGTCTGGGTAGGGCTTGAGGGGGCCTATCCCTGCCATCCAGGAGCCTGGAAGGCACTGTGCTGTGTTTTGCTGTTCTGTGCTGTGCTGTGCTGTGCTGTACTCTGTGCTGTGCTGTGCTGTGGAGTTGATCCCCAGTGTCCTATCCAGGCTTGAGTTTCCTCCCACACTGTGATCTCCTCTCCTGTGGTCCAGGCTACACAACTGAGCCTCCTCCCTCTGAGTCCTGAGTGACCCCAGTCCTCTCCTGGAGCCAGTTCCCTTGTCTAACATACTCAGCTGCCCATGTAGACGTAGATCTGTACCCCAGACAAGACATTCAGCCACTGTCTGAACTCTCGCTGTTCCGAACAGGCACCTGGAACTTCAAACTGACCGGCCTCAACCTTAGGCTCATTCCCTGCACAGAACTGACACTCCGCGTACTCCAAACGACTCATAGGCAAGTGTTAGAGTTATTCTTATGATTAAATTTCAGACTTTGTCTCTCATCCCTCTAAATGTTTACCATGTGTAGCATGTTATCTACTCAAATTGCCAAATTTCACCTTCATAACAGGTATGTTTGTTGTAGTAGATCAATTATTGAGTGGCTTTGCCCCATCATTTGCATGTTAAACTAATATCCTTAACACGTGGATTTAATGTGCTTGCAATGCATTATAACGTTCAACCTTATACTTTCATTTCCTTCAGCATATTTTACAACATCTTTTAGTTTTAAATGAGCTTACATTGTCACTTCTTTTGCTCTATTTTTGATAACATTGATTGGTTAGATAACAGACTCATTATGCTACAAGTAAAAAAATACATCTCAGATATCATAGAAATTAATTGTATATTAGTTCTCCGGTAGAATGAATAATTTAGGAAAGATAAAGAATGTAATATATATATATATATCTTTTCTTTATCTATTCTTTATCTTCTTTATCTTTCCTAAATATATATATTTAGGAAATATATATATATTCTCAGTTACATAGATTCTGAATCAAGAGATCTTTTAAGATCTTTTAAAATGTAACCACAGTAATTCTGGGAAATAACAAAATTGAAGATGCCAAATATAACAATCTTAGAAAGTGATATAAATAAATCAGGATACTGCTCAATATATTCAAGATGGCATTCTTAAAATAAAGCCACAGACCTTCATATTCTTTTTAAAAAATAGAAAAACTGTGATGGAAAGAAAGCACAAACCTCAAACCATAGAGTAAGAATGTAGAAATTATCATGCAGAAAATAAATTAGAAGGGACAAGTTGCCATGTCCCACGGGAGCCCATTTGTTAAAAAATTTGCACTGTTGAAGGTGTTAGAAACTTTAAAAACTTTGTCTTGAGTCATTGGGGATGTACCCCAAAAGAGAATTGTGGGGTCTCAGGTTCTTCTCTGTACCCTGACCATAAAGTGGGTAGTTTTGCTCTCTCATGTGTTCCCACCATGAACTACTATCACAGCCATAAAGCAATAAGGCAACTAACTACTCACCAGCTGAAGCCTCTAAAACTGTGAACCAAAATAAATGTCTTATCTTTGTAAGTTGATTATCTTGAGATTTTGTTACAGTAAGAGAAAGCTGACTATACAGAACCATTTATGGAAAGAGAATAGTAGGGAAATTATTTTTTGAGTGTCAATCTGAATGGTCAAGAAGTTGTCTAAAATCCCAAGCAGGTCAAGAGCTATGGGCCCAGGAAACTTGCATTTAAATAACAGAAGAACTAGGAAATTTAGCATTTTTAATATAAAGAAAATCCCGTATTTTATTTTAAGACTAGTAGAATACCAATATCAAACCTCACAATGACACAATAGAATTAAATCTCAGCTCAACAGCATTTATAAATGTTCATACAAAACCATAAATGAAAATCTGTGAATAGAACAGGGAAATACACTGATTCTAAGAACAGGAGGGTTGAATGAGATCTTTACAACCATGCAAAGGATCACATGAAACTGACTAAAAGCAAGAACCACGTGATCACTTAACAATATGGCTAAGGCAAAAGTAAAGAATAGCTATTTTTTAAAAGGACAAAATGCGTGTCAGGGAGATGTCAGCAGGTAAAAACAGTTGTCGCACACACCTGCTGACCCGCGTGTGGTGTGAGAGTGAGTGTGAAAAGCCTGCTACAGTGGCACACATCTATAGGACAGCACTCTACAGAGAGAGGGGAGGCCAGAAGCTGCCGAGGCAGTCTGCCTGGAAGATGCAGTTGTGAACAGCAAGAAAGATCTTCAAACAAGGAGGAAGGAGGGGACTAACAGCAAGGTTATCTTCTAACCTCCACACATATGTTACAGCATGCACTTGCCTGCACATACGCACGCACATACACACACGTAAATTTTAAGTAAAACAAAACAAAAAACGGGGGGAGGGGTCTATGCCTTCTCAACATAGCTACATCTGCATGCATGAGAGAGAAAGAGAGAGACTGGTAAAAGGTAAAATAATATGGTTTTGACCTAATGCTAAGGAACTCATCTGTGGAACCATTGTCTATGTGGCCATGTTGCTGAGACTGTGAGAACGGGCTGAGCCTTTCTGCACAAAATGAGCGTTAGAGCGAGCACTGGCTGTGGGGATGTGTGTTGTGTGGTTGGGGGTTATTCAAAGCCTACTGGAATGTTCCTGAGGAGTTCATTCAAACAAAAATACATGAGATGTGCTTTGATGCCCAACACGCACCACAGAATTTGAACCCAAGAGGTCACCAAGCTGTAAAGCAAAAGTGTGCACTACAGATACTGTATAACAACAAATACATGAAGCAACGCCATACATGTCTACTACAGATATGCATAGTTCATGCATACACAAGTCTTACATTTTTCTACTTTACTGACATAAAAAAATAAGTCCACAAAATACTGGGGAAGTAAAAAGAAATTGCTTTTGAGACGCCACCTTTGTAAGGACACAGTATGATCTCCTAAAGTTGCCTGCCAGTTATTCCACTGTAGCTCACAGTGGCCATAACTGGGGTTGGGGTGGGGGTGGGGTGCCAGAAGATTTTTAGGTTTGGGTTTCTATTTTTTTTTCATGTGAAAGACAATACTTATACAGCATTTTAACAAGAACAATGGCTTCTCCTCACAAAATCAAGGCTCCCATCAGGCTTGGTGTCTGCAGAATGAAATTGACTTTGTCTGCCTCTTACCTGTTCCCAAACAAAATAACCTACATCCATCATGGCTGCCTCAATGTCTAACAGTCCCTTCCACCCACTGCTCATGGACCTTGAAGGTCAAAAATCAAACAGTGCCTGTGCCAAAAGGCTCTGTGCCAGGTCATCCATTTTCACTGAGGCAGGCCTCTACCTCACAAGAATCTCCTGGGCAAGGCCACCTGTGCTGATGCAGATGACCCCTTAAAAAGATAACATCTTTGTCTCCTCAGAAATGTCCCCAGGGAGGAAAAACAAATGCTTAAAGGAGTGAGGAGTGCATAAAGTGCCTTGGGAATGTCTAGGTGTCCCCCATGGTGGCATTTGTGTCTTTTAAGAAGGAAAAGAGTGACCCAAGCTGGCAAAATTGCCCTATGTCATCACCGCACTATGAGACAGCAAGAAGTCCCTCACCACATGCCAGGCAGATGCTGGTGTCATGCTCACAGACTGCCCAGCCTACAGAACTGTGAGCTAAATTAGCCTCAATTCCTTGTAAATGACATAGCAGCAGGCATTTTTCTATACAACAGAGACCGGACTAATATGCCAGCATTACTAGGAAGCTTCTGGAACAAAATAAGCTGACCCTTCCATACTCCTTCCTATTGGAACCTTCTAATAGATTGTGTAAGGAGCAGGTCTCACCTGGCTTATGATGGCTTTCAGCATTCCCAGGAGCAGCAGGGCACCTTCTGTGCACAGCCCCACCTGGAGGACTTCTTGCTGGTGATGTTTCTGTAGAAGCCACTGAAGCATCGAATCCAAGCTCTCCTTGTGGAGAAAGAAGAACCATAAGGAGACCTTGCCACCAAAGGAAGGTGGGAAGGCGCATCACATTTTCCAGGGGTGCCCAGACGGAAAAACACGAGGAGAGAGAAACAGACTAGTTCATCAGTCCTTATCAATATTTCAGCCCACAGAATGGTGCATTAGAAGCACACACCTCTAAGAAGGTTCTAGATCTACCAGAAACTTGCAACATGGAGAGTTCCTGGGGCTACGGGAACAGAGCAGGGGAGTAGCACTGTTTACCATGTACAAGGCTCTGAGCTCTAATCTCAGAAGTACTCAATGTCCCAACCCAATCCAGTGGGTATGATCAAGGAGGTGACAGAAGACAAGGATTTCAAGGTTCAGGGAAAGTGCAGAGAAGGAGCTGGGTGTTGGATCAGAAGGCCCGACACCGCCCATTTAATAGCTCAGACAAACTACTCAGCCTCTTGGCTGTTCAATTTCATTCTCTATGAAATGAAAACTCACATTATCTACTCCCACAGGATTGTTTAAATATCAAGTGAAATAAAATATGTAGAGTGTCTCTTACAGGTCTTACACCCTTAGATGTTTGTTTCCCATAATACAGAGAGAAATAAAAACGCTGGTTCTCTATGAACTTAAAACAGCATGCTCAGAACTTTGTGCTGAAGTGATCTATTCTATTTCTATCTATCAAGATGTAGATCCAGGCCATAAAATATGGGACTATGCAACGAGCTGAATATTTTAGCCATGCCTTTTTCTATTCCTGTTCAGTTCAGTTCAACTAAAACCTAAGAAATGATTCCCAGTTCTGTTATTCATCAGGTACCTGGGGAAAAGAGTCAAAGGTCAAGACTGTCTCCCATTTGCTCAATGTTTAACAAGGCATTATCCCTTTGGGTGTAGATGCTATGTAAGATGCAATGAGGCACAATAGAGAAATTGTCTAGGGCTATCAGCAGGAAGTGGCCAGTGAGAATGGGAGAAAGGAATAAGGACACATACTCACAGATGTGACAGGTGAGTACATAGCAGCTGTCTTCTCGTGGACATGAAAGCAGAGTTATAGTAGGAAGAGGAGGTAAGTTGAAAGGCCAGTTAAGCAATCAAATTAAAGGGGTCCTGATGCTGGCTGGGGTCTGCATCTGACCTGGTAGGTATAAAAGGCTTGAACCGAGTGTATGAGTGGGTATGTGGCAAGATGGTGTAGTGAGTGTGGGCTTTTCATTGGGAAATTTAGCGAAGAAGTTTATAAGAGAATTGGGAAGGAAGCAGACCAAAAGTGTGGATTAAGGAGCAGGTTCTGGTCTGAGTGGCCATGAAGAGTCAGGGAAAAAAGAGAAGCTAAGGGAAAGAGGAGGAAAATGCTGTGCTTGCGAGTCACTAAGGTCTGAGGAAAATCAGAAGCCTCCTCTCCGAGTGACAGTAGAGGGAGAGCACCTCTGATGAACAGGGCTGAGGCGTAAGGTGATGCGGCCCTAGCATACTGTAGATCAGATTAACCGTGTCAGTATTCTAGGAGAGACCACGGAAGGTAAGAAAGTCTAACGGGGAGGTGGGAGGGTTTAAAAGCTAGCCAGGAGTGCAGGATGTGAGAGGATGAAGCAGGTCAGGCTGTTCTAGTTGAAAGAAGTAGAGGGATGGAGAATCTTAGGGAACAGCCATAATCATACGGACTCAGAAAGCCAAGTGTGCCCCTCCTCCCCAGGGGTGCACCCAGAACATACTTTGGGTCCGTCAGTCAGCTCTGTAAGTGGTGTCTGGAGGAAGAAGGAGGACACGATGAGGTACACTTCCGGGATAAGAACATGGTAGGCCAGAAACTCATCCAAGACCCGGAACCCAGGAAGTAGGCAGGGACTCTGGTCGGGCACTACAGGGTGGCTCTTCAGATTGTCTATTGATGAGGTAGGAGAGGCACAACAGGAACATATGAAATGTTTCACAATCATTTCTGGCCAATTCTTAACATGCTCATTCATTCACTCACCCATCTACCTATTCATTTATCCATCCACCCACTCATCCATACATCTATTCATTCATCAAAAACAGATACTAAACAAACAAACAGATACTAAGCTGAGCATGGTGGAGCACACCTGTAATCCCAGCACTCAGAAAGGCAGAAGCAGGTGGATTGCTGTGAGTTTGAGACCAGCCTGCTCTACAAAGTGAGTTGAGGACAGCCAAGACTACACAGAGAAACCCTGTCTCAAAAAAAAAATCAGCTATGCAAAAAGCAACAAGGCAACCCTGTATTGGACAGAAGATCTATCACATTCCAAAAAGACGTACAGGTTCTAGGCACATATGAAACGACATTGAAGTGGGAAGGACAGGCATAAAGCAATTCAGATAAATTAAAATGTGCTTATGAATTATGATGGACATTAGAGAGATGCCATTACAAGCAGAGAGATGTGATTCGATCTTCTAATTCAGGCTGGCCCCCTCCTGTCTTGGGGAGACTGGCACAGAGCTGGGACATGAAAGACAAGTCTACATCCATCAGAATGGGCATCCAGGGAGAAGAACCAATGTGCTAGTGTGTCAGCAGGTAAGAAGAGGGTGGAAGGCAGCCTGCCTGAGTTAGTAAGCATGAGGTTCTGGAATGACTCATCCATGGGAATCTAAGAGGGCAAGGGCTGAGGTGGGTACAGGCCTAGGGGACAGGGCTACACAGGTCCCAAGTGGGCAGGGTTGGGTAGGGCTTGATCATCACTCCCACCCAGGACAAAAGAGTTGCCTGGAGACACCACAGATACTCACCCATCACAATGTCCACACCCTCCATGCTGTTCTCCACCCAGCATCCAGCAGACAGGCCATCTCTAAATCGCCCACGGAGGGAAGGGTGTGACAGAAAGTGCAGCAGCAGCTTCAACGCCAGCGTGGTGGTGCTGGAATTCAGGTGACCCTGTAGGAGCAGCAGGAACCAGTCGGGGCCCAGGCTCAGAAACACCTGTTCCTTTGACCTAGAGGGGCAGTACAGCAGGCAGTCATCTCTCATTCCATGAGCAAGAGGCGTGCCCAGAAAAAGACCAAGTCACCCCACACAGGGAAGTGAGGCAGTGCTTGGCCATTGCAGATGAAATGTGGATTGTATTTTGAAGGAACAGGTAAAAGGCTGGCAAGATCACCGCACAGCGGATAGGCTCGTCCATTAACAGTGCTATGCAAACAGGCCAGAGCTTCTTAGGGCAGTTGGGAACCCAAGCACAAGCGTGGAGAGATGTGTGCTCCTTGCAGCCCCACCCCCTACTGCTCGTGCTCGCCCCCTCACTTCAGTCCTGTCAGCAGAGTAACCTAAACCATGAATTTATTTACCTCTGTCTTTAAAGTATCTAGTCAAAACTGATCTAGTTGGAAATGTCCAGTGGTTAGCCATGGTGAAATGTCACTCTCAAACATGGACTTAAAGTGCTGAGTTTAGATTTGCTGGAGGGAACTGGATGGCAGGGAGATCAGAAGCCTGTCTGGAAAGGACAGTTGAGAGGGTAAGAGCTCCCGCCATTTGAGAGTCACAGAGAGAAGCATCCAAGCAGGGTAGGTTCTCAGCATCAGCTTCCTCACTAGGTACACCGAGGGGATGGCTGCTAGCTGCTGGCTGCTGGAATGAGTCAACACTGGACTAGAAGTGAAGGAACTGCCTCCCACTTAGTACTGTCTTTGTGCTTATCAACTGGATGGCTTTGACAGGGCTCCTAATGTGCTCTGCCATTTCATGATGGTGATGATGGAATGGCGGGAACTATGATGGTGATAGCAATGGTGGTGACGGTGATAGAGATGGTGGTGGTAACGATAGTGATGAGGATTAGATTATCATATCTTCGTGATACCCTAAGATCCCTTCTTGGACCCATCTGTCAATTCATTTTATTCTCACCGCAGGCCTCCATGAAAACGACCATTTTCAGTCTCACACTGAGTAGAAGGAGGCATACAAAACTTGTAGAACCTCCTTGGGGCCTTAGGGAAAGAGCTAAAATGCTAGTCCTAGGTTGAGGTTTCAGAGTTCAGATGTTTGAGAAACACACCAGAAAAAGTCTCTTCCAAAGCTATGGAAAGGGAAATGGCTAGGCTCACTCACCTCTAAGGCTCCTTCCAGCTTGTGCTTTGATTCTAGGAATGTAAAGTCTTACAGTGTGTGTGTGTGTGTGTGTGTGTGTGTGTGTGTATTGTATATGTGTGTGTATTGTGTGTGTGCTGTATGTGTACTGTATATGTGTGTGTTGTATGTGTATTATATGTGTGTATGTTATATTTATATGTGTGCAAGCTGGACATTAATGTCAGTTGTCTTTCTCATCATTCTTCAGCTTATTTTTGGTAACAGGGTCTCCACTCAACCTGGAGCTCACAGTTTAGCTAAACTAACTGTCCAGAGACCTCCTGAGATGTATCCGCCTCCACCACCCTTCCCAACACTGGCCACCACATCCGGCTTTCATGTGAGTGCCAAGGATCCAAACTCAGGTCCCCACGTTCACGAAGCAAGCGCTTCACCCACAGAGTTACTTCTCCTGCCCCAGCGGGGAAGTCATTAGCCACTATTTGCCGTTTCTTTGCTAAGGAGTATCTTCGTACCACATCACCTAATACACCTATGTACTGACTCAAACTCAGACAGAGCAAAGCCACTAGCTCAGGGCTGCATCCCACAAGCCAGGATCAGTGTCTGGTATACAGTAGGTACTCAACAAATAGTTGTTAAGTGAATGAATACAGGATCTCAGGCAGACAGCAGGGAAAAATAATGTAACCAGCTTTGTGGTTAAGCATTTCTTTGAAAGTTAATTGAAGGCAGATACTTCTTTTGATCCAAGTTGGAAGAACTAACTAGAGCTCTAAAACAGCACAGGAATTTGGCAAACCTTCTCTATGATGGATGTTGTTTAGGCTAACCCTCGCTCCATTCTGTTGTCTGCCAAGCATAAGACATCAAAGACAGCGGTTGTCACAACTGCCAAAACAATAGCCATTACAGGATACAGCGGTGATAAAAAGAATTTATTGAAATGATAGCAAATCTGTTTCTCGTTCTCTGAGCTCACTGAACATTTGCATCAACATTTGCATATAGCCCTGGCTATATCTCAGGGCAAGGTCTGGTTTATCGGGTGGAGAGAATGTTATCCTCATTCCGACTAGAGCAGGACACACCGCAGCCAGCAGACTCGGGGATGCTAAGCTTTTCATTAAGAGAAGGTTTTAACACCCCACCCTGTGTGAGGCAACCCGGGCCAACTCACTCAGAGGACAGATGAAGTTGGGGGGAAGATATTACACCAAACAGCATCTCCAGCAGCTGGTTTCTAAGCCAGATTGTCTTTCCAGATGTTTGGCTTCCAGCTAAAGAAAAAAAAAAGAAAGAAATTTAGATTTGAGAGAAAAAGGATGTAAAGAGGCATAATATTTGCTACAGCAAGCAACTGTTTTCATCAAATACTTAGTTTACTCAGGAATTGGGCCACAGATAGGGCTCAGAATCTTGGCATCGAATTCTGGACTTCTGTGTGACACTTAAAAAGAGCTTTGGAACATGTTGCTGTGTTTCCCTTTACTTGGGGGGGCAACTTCTTGGGGGTGGGAATCTTTAAACTGATAAAGTAAAAGAATATCTTTCAGTGAGAAGCAACTTGACCCTTCAAGCATCAGAGAAACTCTAAAGGACACAATGTTTAACAGAGATTTAAACTAAAGACTGTTAGCAGGCATGGTGAGGCCCGCCTTTAATGCGGAGCACTTGGAAAGCATGGGCAGGCAATCTCTGTGAGTTCATGGACAGCCTGGTCTACATAGACCAATCAGGGTGAAAAGGGGAAACCCTGTTTCAAGAAAAAAAAATGATATAGGGGTAAAAGTTTCAGTACGAAATCCATGTGAGCAGGAAGTCTGACAGGAAGTCTGACCAACTATATCACTCTTGACCTACTGTCCATCCACTCATTCTCTGGCTCTTGTTGTGTGCCCCATTCAAAGAACACACGCCCTACAGCAGAAGCTTGGAGAAGACTCACATTCCTCCCTATTTGAGTCTGGCTCCATCTCTCATTAAGACCCTAATCTCATTGACCTTCTCAGCTCTATCTTCTGAGAGATGAGAATAGCAATTTCCGTTTTTGAGGCTTGACCTAAGAAGATGCCCCGGAGACTATTCTACGATGGTGAGACTGTTTTACTTCCATGCAGTGGAGTTTATGTGAATGAACACACACGTGTGTATGCATGCACATGTGTGTACAAGTGGATAGAGGACAGAGGTCAAGGTCAGAGTCTCACTAACTCCAGAGCTCACTGGTTTGGCTAGATTGGTTGATCAGAGAACCCTACAGATCAGCTGTTTCTGCCTCCCCCGCACTAGGCTTACAGACCTACAGGCTGGTGTGTCTGGCTTATCATGTGGATGCTGGCGAGTCAAGCTCGGATCCTTGCGCTTGTGTGCTGAGTGCTTCACTGACTGAGCCGTCTCTCCAGCCTCTAATTAGTTAAATTGTGCACTTAAATGGTCCCATCTTCAACAGGGAGGATCCCAAGGGCCCAGAACAAAATGCTTATAGTTGTTGCGCTATGCCCTCCTAGCAAACCGAGGCTCAGCAAGGCAGGGCAGCTGTTTTGCATGAACACGAGCCTGGCTCAAAAACACATCACAAACTACGTTATGAGAAGGCTTTGGACTTCAGAAATCAAGCCTAGTGGGACTGGAAACGACTACTCTATAAAAGAAGGAGGGGAATCGGCACCATTTGGCCATCATAGCTGTGGGCGTTTCCCTTTTTCCCACAGCTTGTTTCCATGCAAAGTATCCCCAATATGTGCTTTCGGGTGACTTGACGGCCATCTGACCTCACATCTGAAAAGAAGGCTCTCACCAGGTACGGAGGGGTCCTGGGCTTCATCCAGGCATATCTGTCTCTCGTTCACTGATGCAGGCTTGAGGGTGTATATGACGAAGAGCCCAACCCTGTGTACAGCAAGATGAGAAGGGCGTGCTTAGGCAGTGGTCTCAGCTGTGCCCTCTGCATTTGTGTTTAATGTTTTCTACGCGGTCCATTCAAGTGGGGCACAAAGTGAAAATCTGAGGGACCTAGGGTTTTGCCGTGATCAACATTGTGTTTCTAGAAACTTCTAAATCTGTCAAGATTTATCAAAGATGTTGACTCTGGTTCTTCCAAGTCAAATTTCCAGATAGGCAGGAAGGAGAAAGAGTGGAATGTGGAACAGGCTGACCGCTGAGGGAAACCAGCAGGGGGTAGACAAAGGGCTATTGCTTCGAATACTGACTATGGGAGTGGGTATTTTTGAACTCTCAGGCATAGACCAGGTGCCTGAGCATCAGAGGCTAGGAAATCTGCCATCTTCCACCTTGAATCAAGCAAACCCACTCTTGTCCAAATGCTTGCCCCTGACCACAATTTTCTACAAAGTTCTGAATGGTCTCAAGTACTGGGGCGGGCAGGGGAGGCTAACATATTCCCTTGTAAAATAACCCCAGGCTCTTTCGCCTGCCCCACTCACCCCAGGAGCTTGTTGAAGTACCTGAGTAAGTCCTGGATGTTAAAGTGGCCCTTCAGCTGACAGCCCAGAATGGCAATGATGGTGGAGACCTTGGACAGGGCCAGGCTTGGCTCATTGAAGAGGAATAGGAGCTTGGTTACCAGCTGTGCCTGGTGGGCTATTTCAGCATTTCTGGGTCCTTCCCTGGGGAGCCCAGGAGAGAGGCAGTAAAAGCTTTTACTGGAATGAACCAAATTCACTGTGTTTCTTCTAAAAAGGGTTTCCAAGCTAGGCTTGTTCTATGGCTCTCTGACACTAGCGTTCTCTTGGCAACTTGTCAAGATGCCATCAGACACCCCCTCAGGTACGTGTCTGCCAAGTGTCAGAGTTGCTGGAGCATGCGCTGCTTGTCCCTTCCAGTCCCTGGAAACCACCTTTAAAGACAAACCCAATTATTGACTTGGAGTCTGAGCCTCAGGGAGAACTAATGCTGGCTTCAGAAAACCCAGAGCAAAGACAGCAGACGCACATGTGACCCAAGAACACTTCCCAACAAGCGGCAAAAGCAGCGCCGGCCTGCAGAGCCCGTCTGCCTGTGTGATCTTCCTGCCCAGCCCAAACCACAAAGTGGATGAGCACTCGGTGGAGAGGCCGAGGAGAAAGATGGAATTCAAGTACCCACACCCCCTCCTCAGGATAATCATGGTCTTATTTCCAGTAAGTTCTACTTCTCCAAAGACAAGAACCACAAGGGTAATGTCTGTTGCTTAGGCAACAGGTACAGAAGTGGAGAATGGCAGAGGGAGGGTAGGAAGGTATGGGTGGGGTCGCTCCTTTGAAACTTTCTTGTTGACATTAGCATGTTCAGTTCTGCAAAGTTCTACAGCCCATACACTAATGGGACAGACCCAAGGCGGTCACAGATCATAGAACTATGTGACAGGAAAGACCCGTGACTTTCCACCCAAAAGCTGGGGCCACCTAGGCAGATAGCCAGTAATAGCCTGAATGAAAATCTATTCACAAACACAGTGAAAACAAGGAAGACATTAACGGTTACTGGGATAGCAGGCAAGGGGGTAGCTCATGGCTCTGCTGCCTCCTCTCTCCTTTCACAGCCCTTATGTATTGGGAGTATGTTCTCACTAAAACTCTTCAGCCTCTGGAGAGGCAAAGCCATGCTCTTGGCCTGGCCATGAGAACACAGTGGCCCAGCAGAACTCAATCCTATCCTAGGATTGGAGTAAAGCCTGTGTCCCACAGCCACCTGGCTGTCACAGTAAAATGCCTGCCCAAGTGAAGCAGCGCAGGCTGAAGAAAAGTAGGGAGGGCAGAGAGGGGTGCTCGTGTGGTACCCCAGCAGGATCTGTGCCCTTCTCTTACACTAATGAACTGCTCAACAAAATTCCTCCAGCCCCTCCTCTTCTATCCCTTCTCCTCCCTGCATTCTTCCTTCCTTAGCCTGTTGCAGTTTTATTTCTGCCATTGGCAACTCCAAGTGACTGGTTAGAGAGGGAATGGACAGAGAGCAATTTGTGGCCTAGAGCAACTATTTCTTCTTCAGGCCAAACTCATCACCTGCTGAGCCCTAATTCATCTAATTCTGGGCTAGTCCTTGGGGCTAGAGGCCTCTGAATCCCCAACACCTGTCTCCTGAGGTCCAAGTCTGTCACAGGAGGAAGAGCTGTCCCACTGCTCTACCCTCAGGAGTAGGTGGGTGCCAGCATTCTAGGAAGTGGCAGACAGTACCACTGCTTGTCCCGCCCCTTAGCCCCGTTCTTTATTTGAAGATATTAGTTGTAACTCTAGGGCTACTAAAACCCAGCCAACCTTGGTGACCGAAGGATCTCCAGGAGATGGGAAAAGAGAGCAAGCTCCAGGTTGTCTGCAGTGTTTGTCCAGAGCTGGAAGAGAGAGCGGGTGTTGGTTAAGACCAAAGAGTGGTTGTAGCCGGGGCCGCAAGTCTGAGACGAGTTCCCTCATGCTTAGCAGGCACAGAGTGCATCTCTAAAGGGAATCTCAAGGATCTCTCCCACTTCCTGGTGCCTCATCATGGGTCTGAATGCTAATCAAGGATACCTTCACCACACATCTCTCCCTGGGCTGCTCACATGCTAGAGCATTTGCAAATAACCCCTCTATTTGACAAGGCCTTTTCCATTGAACTCTGCAAACATAGCCCAGAATTCCTTGTTCCTAAACTCTAACTGCCCTTCACTCATCAGAAACCCCATTTCTGCCTCTCTGTGGAACTGGGAAAGGGTGGCAAGGTGTCCTCTTGATCCTTCTGGCAGTGAAGAGAGCCTGGGTCTCGGACATCACGGCATCTCCTGGCGTATCCAGGAGACATGTCAGGCACTTGGTAAATGCTGCTACAGCTGGAGTGAGTTGGTCCACCCAGAAGCCTGTTGATCCTTCCTTTTGTCCTCAATGGTCCCACCTGCACCTCCAGGTCATTCTTTAAAAGAACACTGGGAACAGCCAAGTACCATCCAAAGGGATCGAGATATTATCTTTAATCCTCACACATAGATAGTGTAGTGCTTCACAGCCTTAAAATCTTTTCAAGACACTATCAGATTTAACCCCTATGAAAGCTTGCAAAGAAAAAAAATGATCTCAGGTTCATAAATACGCATAAAGGATCAGGGCATAGTGATGCTTGCTTGGAATCCTAGCACTAGATGGGCTGAAACAGGAATATCATGGGTTCAAAGCCAGCCTGGGCTACATACCAAGACTCTATCTGAAAAGAGTAAGGGGGATCAGAGCAATCAAGACACATCCCAATGCCATCAGAGACAGCAGGATTAAACTGTAACACAAGCCTCGGACAGAGCTCCAAAGCTGCTGTGATTTCTCCCACCTACCATCAATAGGACCCTGAAAGAAGGATAAACTCCAGATGTTTTCATTGTGTTTTACCCTCTCGCACACACGCTCCCGAAAGCCTAGGTGCCAGGCTCCAGTTTACCTCAAAATTGCAGAGCACGTGCCGGAAGACACATGTGTTAGTGACAGCAGCTGGCCTAAAGCCCAACTCCGCGGTGCCCGCCACCGAAAGGATCAGCTGGAAAATGCGGTGGTTTAGGAAGGATGTCTTCTTCCTCAGGAGAAAGGCTAAGATCTGCAAAAGTGAGATGCGCAGTGGAATTTGTGGAAGTGTCATTGAACCCCTTTCTTCTGTCACTGCTAGCTCCCACAGCACCCCTGCTCTCGGACCACACCCCTGCTCTCCTGGACTGCCATGGTTAGTTCTGCATTCTCCCAAGACATACCCACACCAATTTCTGCGGCGCCTTCCCTTCCTACGTCTGTCTCACTGGGCTTATGAGATGTGACCTCCGGAAAGAACCTCTTATTTCACTCTGGCTCTCACCCCTCACTTTTCCAGGCCTTTCCTCATCTCTTACTGGATCTATACATTCACTGCCATGACCTCTTGTCACTGCTGGAGCATTGCCAGGAAACCAACACATGTCCACACCCAGATCACAGCCTCGCTTCAGGCTGCAGCCCCTGGCTGTGTCATTCTATTATGCCAGAAGGTAGGCAGGATGCAGCATCTAGTCCAGGACGAAGAGGCTGGGATCCAAACAAGACACTTTGTTTCTGAAAATGCATCTCAGAGCAGAGAAAGATGCTTCTCAGAAAGCTCTGTGTTCTCGTGATCTTGGTGACATAAAACCCATGCTATCCAGCCACCTGCTGGGATCTGAGCCATCACCCATCTCTTTGGGACTCAGACCATGGTGTACACAACACAGTCTCTTCCTCCTGGTTCTGACAAAGCCCACTCTTTCTGTTCCTGTTCCCTCGAGACACCCCTGTTACTCTTCCTATGTGCCCTCTGAAAGCTTTGCCTGTAATCAACAAAGATGTGACATCTTTTCACCCTATTCTGGTCACTTTTTTGACAACATCTGCAATCTGACCTCTTCCCCCAAATAAGCCCTGGTCCCTCTCTCTGTGGTTCCTCTCAAAGCCACACCCAGCCAGGCAGGAAGTTGTTGGAGGGCAAGATCAAATCTCATTTTATCAACTACAGATAGTCAGGGCAGTGAACTGTCTGCAGTAACTTTTGTGAGTGGACCCTCTTCTAGGTTCACCGGACCTCCGACCTCCGTACACACAATCATCCCCATCTGCACATCTGCTAGTAGTCCTGTTTTACACAGGACAGGAGGCTAAGAACCCAAAGATGCTAATATTCACTGAACAGTGACCCCTGTAAGGCTTGATTTGAGCCCTTCATTTGTATGAGATCTTTCAATCCTCACTATAAGACAAGAGACAGAAGGGATGAAAGTCCAGATCTTACAGATGGGGAGTCTGAAGGGATGTAAATGATTCTTTTAAAGTTAAAAAAAAAAAAAACGAGTTAGAAAATGAGGCAGAATTTCAAAGCAGTCTGGGTCTCTAATCTGAACTCTCAGCCCCTGTGAGAAAAGCAGGATGAGGTAATCCTAAATGATTCTGGAATCAAGGAGAACGTTACAGTAGCAGACAGGTGAGCTAGCTGGCCCAGACAGAGCTCCTTGCAGCTGGCTGTCACCAGACACTCCTCTGCTATGAGCATGCAAGCGGCAGCACTTCTATCGGTGGATCGCTGAGCAGCCTGGGTTTGGGGTGAGCAAGGTGGTGAGGGATGCAAAGCTTGCTAAGAGACTCTTTTCCAGATGCCACTCCTGACCCGGAGTAATGCTACCAGGCCGAGAGAAGCTCATGCTGAGGGTGACACCCCTTTGGGAAGCTCCGGGGTGAGCAGAGAGGGTTGGGTTACCTGGTACCCAGAGACGTGCTGCATCAGGTAGTCACACATGGCATTGCTGGTCAGAACCGAGTGCAGGCCTTTCATAGCCGCATACATGCTGTGGTCATCCGTTGCCAGGGAGATGAGGCCCAGGAGGATGGCAGGTCCCCCAATGTAGTCCAGGCTGCTGGCAGCAGGGCTGGAATGGAACACCCTCACCCCTGAGGGAGCCAAAGAGGGTTTGTCATCAGTGTGTCACAGCAGTTCTGCCATGTAGAGCCTGTGTCTATGCCATGTACAGCCAGAGAGGACCCATGCACTGGGATAAGTTAGGAAGAGAAACTGGAGCTCCAGAAGTCTTGGAAGCCCCTCTGTTATTTTACACAAATACAACATGGCTCCTGCTCACAGGCCACACTGTGCTCCAGGGCTAAGCCCCTGTGGTGCAGGGATACCATGGGGTCAAGGGTTGAGCTCACCAACCAGATGCAGCACACTGACTCAGCGGCACTCTTTGTTCACACTCTGGCTGAGCTTGTTCTCAAGTCTGGCCCTTCCCACAAGACCTCCCCAGGACATTCCATCTTGTCTCCCACACCCCAGAGGTCTAGGATGCACAAGCCCTCCTCCCCAAAGCAGAGTCTGGTGCTTGCCCTACCTAACTGGCCCACAGCAACTGCACCAAGAGTCCGAAGTGACCCTGAGAGGTGTCCAGCACAGTTTCTCAGCAAGAACACAGGAGTGGCACTATCACGGGAGGAAATATTCATCTAGAGGAAATCACAACAATTAGTGCCAGGGGACCCCTTGGGAAAGAGGATGCTGTTCGGGAGCCCTTGGAGGATAGACATCCCAAGGCCCAAGGCTGGATTGGACGTGTGACAATTAGTGGATGATAAAGTGGACAATATTGGGGCTGAAGCTAAAATGTGGGATCACTGTCTCACACCCCAACTGTGGTACAATTGTAAGTAAAGTAAGCACACGATCTGCATCCCCCAAAAAGAAGAGGCCCACGGCGAGGACCCCAATGACAGCAATGATAAAATACTACTACCAAGACCTTCTCAGTCCAGGCTCTTTGAGGCCCAGCTTCTACTACTAATTCCAGAAACCCAGGAGGAGAGGAATCCTGCCTTCCTGTACCAGGGGATATGCAGGAAGGCACAAAGGCCATTTGGTGCATTTCAGGGCCTCAATTCTGATCCCTTTGTCCATGAGAGCGAAGAGCACACAAACAAACCAAGCAACATATGTCAGCACTGAACCCAAAAGAGATATTTCTGCAGGAATTAGGAAATGGTAAGCTGCCTAGCATCTTTCTTTGCAATACATTTTCTTGTTGTTCTGTAAGTTCACTTTAAAAACAAAACTACATCCATCCATCCACATTTCAGAGTTCATAGAGTAGTAGTGTCCAAAGGGAAGGCCAGTAATTGAGTTTCCAAAATCAAAATGATATTAAAAGTATTCCGAGTTCTTCATCAGGAAGAGCACACATATTCTTTTCTATGCAGTTTTAAAGAAAAGGCTGAGTCCTGGTGGAGAAGCAGGCTGTGTCTTAGCAAATGAATCGAGAGGTGTGATATTCGAGTATGTATCCACCCACAAATGAGCAAGCACAGGGTAGTTACTGAAGCCGTGGAAGCTGAAGAAAGCCGCACAGTGAAGTTTGCAGTGGGGAAGACTGAGCGATGTAGAAAGCTGTACCTCCTTGGCGATCAGACGGCTGTCCACCTCATTGTAGGTGTTTCTGATGCTCAGGATGCTCGTGGTAGAAGAGCTGGATACATGAAGACCAAAGGAAACCCTTTCCTCTGCAATGAGGGGCGTGGCTTCACCATCTGAGTCTTCTCCTGCAACAGCATATTTCTAGTCAGTTCTAGCCTCTTTTTACAGAGAAAGAAATTGACACTCCAACTCTTAAACACCCACTGCTACACAGCAAAGGGATCACTGGAAGAATGTCTGCACATTGTTACATTTTGCATATTTGTGTGTGATACATTTTACCCCACCTATGCTTGTCTGATACTTAATAGAAAAACCAGGGCAGGACCAAGTGTAGTGGTGCACAACCTTTAATTCCAGCACTTGGTGGGCAGAGGTAAATGGATTTCTGTACGAGGCCAGCCTGGTTTATATAGTGAGACCCTACAGGGACAAAACCAAATCAAAACAATGACAGCAACTGACACTTTGGGCAATCTCTCAAGACTGACTCTTTCAGAAAGTGCAGGTGCTTCAGTGGGAGACTAGGAGAGGAGAAACATCTGTTAAATCTCTCTGCTTCCAAGCTGCTAAGTAACTTTTTCTGAAAGGTGTTGGGGCTGACAGACCTAAGAGCTGCATAGCTACTGTGAATATCCAACTTAGCATCAGCACTCTGGGCCCCAGGTGACTGACAATAGCCCCCTACTAAAGGACCCCTGTGCCAATACAGAGTCAGTGAAATGCAGGCTCCAGACCTGGACTAGCTGCTCTGCTCAATGCCGTTTGCCACAGGAAATGAAGTTCACACAAGACCTGGTCTTGGAAACGGGAGCACTCAGCAGCACTCAATCGCCCTTAGCCGCACACAAGGCCTTCAACCCAGATGCATTTGTCTTTCTTTCCAGATGGAAACTGACCCCCTGGACCTGGCAGAGCTCAGAGAGCAAGCTCTCTGCTTGAACAGCCAACAATCAATAAGGAAAATGGGGATGCTGTCTGCCTGTTTAATAATTGAGGACAACAGTATACTTTAGTTAAAAAGCATCTTCATTAAAAGGAATGTAACTTATTTATCTCAATCCCCTCCCTTTCTCTGCTGACAGTATTACTCACCTACCCTCCTCCATTAGGTGCTGTGGAGTTGAAACCTAAAGGATATTGTCATTTCCTCTTCTGTGACAGTTTCTCTTGGGTTGTAAATATATAATGATCCAATTACAAAGGCCTTCCCTAATGATTGACCTGTGCTGAGCCTATTCTTTATAAACATGCTATAAATAACTGGGTGCCCACTTAAAAACTGATACCAGCAGAATCACCATAAATCAAAGCACTCCATACCTTGAAGGTGCACAGCTTGAAAGTTACCACAGTACCTAGGGCCCAGTTTGATAATAAGTGCTAGAGTATCCACTGATATGTCTTCTTCAAAGAGGTACGCAGGCCCAACACGCCAGGTTAATGATGACTTTTGTTTCCAAACTCTAGGGGTCCCAATATAGCCATAAACATCCACAAATGAAGATGGATCCATTGAAAGGAAAGGCCCTGGTAAGGCCTGAATATACAACATCTGTTAAAACAGGGTAGAGGAAGGGAGTGCTTGACCCCAGAGCTGATCAAAGTAATATATGTGATATATTACATACACAACACCATGAGCCACATTCTTCACCCCAAAATAAAACTTTATTGTCTAAAAAGTCAAACACACACACATGCACATATATCTATACACACACACACACATACACACAAATAACAAGTAAAAATGGGGAAGTGAGTAATTGGCAGATCATATCAAGGCACCAACAACTCGGCTTAGACACTGACCTTGGCTGAGCCAATGGCTTGTCCATCCAGATACGCGGTAACAGTGCAATGCCTTTTCATTTCTTTGCTGACCACCACAGCCAGGTGATACCACTGGCCGCAAGCCAGGAGCTGGCCACACCTGACTTGGAGCTGGCGGCCTGCGGAGGGCTCTGCCTCATCTTCCAGCTCCATGGCATCTGCAAAAGAGAGCAAACACTGGACCTCACATGAGACATCATGCTACAGAGACCCACGAGCACTGCGGACGGTGGTATCCCTGGTCAGTCCACACGGGCCTTACCTCTGCGGAGATACAGACCAGACTATACTCCCTTCCATTATAGCTGCCACCATCAGCCGCTGAGCTCAGACTCCATGCCAGACACGAGCTAAGCATGGCTATAGTATCACCTCATTTAACCAGCCTACAACCCTGTGAGGTACGGTGCTGTCGTTGCTCCCACTCTCTACCCTGAGGCAAAGAGCTTAGGCCAATCACCCAAGGTCAGCTCCAGCAGGCTTCCGCCAGGCACTATCCACTGAGTGCCAGGGTGATGGCGTGTGTCAGGTGACCTGAGAGGAAGGAGCCAAGCAGTCTGGCTGTGTGCCAAGAATGTGGCCATTCTTGGGACTTCCCATACAGTTAGCTCTGAGCCGGTGACTTTTATCCATACACAGGAATAATGATTGAAGGTATCTGGGCTTGGCCATAAGGCAGGTAAACTTGGGAATATGAACAAGTCTGAAGGGCAGAGCCAGGAGGAGTCACCAGCTTGCCACACAGAGTTCCTGTCAACCCTCTGGATTAGGGCCATTTGTGGACAGGTCTAGGGCCACCTCAGCCCCAACTAAGCTGAGTGTGTTCTTCATAACCCTGGCTCTAAGGATGTAGTTTGTGGTCCAGTGAGACAAACCTCAGGTCCCTCCTGTCCGGGCAGAACTAGTTTTCTCTAAAGCCAATGGGCATGAGTGGTAGAGCCACGTGGGCCCAGACCACAGCGGCACACGGCAAATATGTCTCAGACCTGTCACCACAAGCCAGGAGCTGGCTGCCAAGGGAGCACGGAAGCCAAGGGAGCAGGTTCAAAAGATGAAGACACAGAAGGTCTCCAGGCTTCCCGGGTACATCCACGTCAAGAACATCCGGCTTGGCATTTCTTCCCCAGCTGTGGCCCACACAAGCTTTGGATCCCCAGGCCTTACCCAGGGGCTGGAACTCTTTCTCTTCTGTGGACACGACCAAGGAGAAGTCGTCCATGGAGAGGCTGACGGAGAAGCAGACAAAAGGCTGCTCCGTCCGGGCCAGGTGGCGTACCAGGGTTAGAAGGCGCAGGGGGTGGCCTTGCATGACGGTGGCCTGACGGCTGATCAGGAACCAGCAGGAGAAGGTGAGGCCTGCCGGCGGAGGGAATGCCCTGGGAGCACCTGGGGGTGGAGCACAAGCACAGCTTCAGACTTTGTCCTGCTGAGGAAGTGAGCTGAGATGTCAGGACGCTCCGACTCCACATAACTCGGCTGTCTACCAGGTTCTAGCTCTGTGTCTGGCCTACTCCACACTCCCACCATGGGAGGCTTCTCACTGTTCATGCCAGAAGGAGATTCTTGGCAGTTTGTGGTGTTCCTGCAGACTTTGAGTCCACGAAGCCTTTCTTGCCAAGGGGACAGAGAAGTCACTGTCCCTCGGACTTATCAATATCTGACTTCATGCAACTGCTTGAAAGCCAGGCTTTAGGCTCCACAGAGGTGAGGAGACTAGTTCAGCAGAACCTAAGGTGGAGAAATGCCAGGAGCCAAGGCCAGCTAGTGGAAAGTTACAGACAGCTGCAACAAGGTCGTGGGTGAGAAATTTATGTTTCCGGAACTTATGAGACATCTGTTCTTCAGGCTAGACTTTTTGAGATATCTTCGCTGACATTCTTGTAGTATCTCTTTTAGTAAACATTCTTGTGGTGTTCTGCAACCTCATTAATCACCCTGTTATGTCTTGTAAACTATTTTGCTGACACATTTTCCCTTCCTGCCTTCTCCCTATAAAGTTGTGTGAAAATTTTCAAATAAACAAGAGTGAGATCAGGTTATAGACTTGCTCTCCTTCGCATCTCTTGTTCCTATCCCATTCTTTTCACCCCCTCCTTAGGAACCCATTGAACTCCCGCTGGATGGGACAGAGAGATGACCTAGTCCAAGGAAAGCCCATGTCTTCTCATGTCGTAACAGGGTTGGCAGTACTGATGGGGCCACTGTTCCCACTAGCTCAGCATCTGCAGCCATGTTAGCACACTTGGTACCACCCACAGAAAGGAATTTGGTCCTGAACTGTCAGAGCAATCATGTTCTCACTGAATCCTGGGACTTGGCTTTGATAGTAGGGAGTGCTGGACTCAGGCACATTTGGGCACTTGCACTGCCCTGCCCAGTATGTTGTCAGCTTGGTGCGATGTTTTGAAAATCCTACCCAGGCTCCAAGCTGATATCAAGAAACCATCTACCATGATTCACCTTCTCCTGATGGGGCTACTTACACTCCTCTCTAGAAAAAGCTGACAGGCTCTGATGCTCCATTTCAGCCTATTCTAGGATCCCATACAATGGCTCAGACTCGGATGCAGCCTCTTCACAGCTGGCAATGCTACCTGAGACGCTGGCTGTGGGATGAGCCTGTGCAATGATGAGTAGGATACCTGCTCTAAGAGACTGTGAGTAGATGTAGTAGGGTGAAGGGTCCTCGTCTGCAGAAAGTTGGTACTAAGGGAAGACTTGTGCCTTCTGGAGATACGGGATAGAAATCTGCAACCAGATTCCTTGCCACCCAAGGACTTGGGAAATGCTTACCTGATCCAGTCCCCCCAGAGATGGAGTGCTCTGTGCTGGTCCCCATGACTGTAGACACGGTTGGAGTAAACAGACAGCTGAAAATAAGGAAGTGTTGCAGGTCATTGGACCGCATGCCAATCCCTTGCATTAATCATCTGGCCTGAGATAACTCCTTGCTCCATCCTACTGCTAGGAGGCCATGTGCACTCTTAGTCCACAGGCTTCCAAGAATACCCAGAAAGAATGACTCCTCAGTGGAGACCGGACAAGATGGAGAACATTCTAGAAGCAGATACAATAGGGAAGAGGAGAGCTCTGGTCCTTCAAGTCTAGACACTTTGCCCTTCCCCACTAGATAGAGGGGAATCTACTACTTAAACACACCTCTGCCTGAGAAATGAGAATCAGTGGAGGCCACAATTTTGTAGCTGGTGTTATAGATCATCAGAGGTACTGGGATACTAATCAGTCATTTTCCAAATATATGAGAGCCCTCCATACCCATAACCTTCCACAGACATGTCAAATTCCACAAATGACGGAGTCAGTGCTGCTCTCTGAGGCTGAAGATTGCGAGGGGAGGTCATGGAGATGAGGCTCAGTGTTGTCTGAAGGGCTGTGGCTGAATCTTGGGCGGTCCATGAGGACCTGACGTCCTGAGACACTCCAAGGGGTGGCTTGACATCTGGAGGTTTCTCGGCTGAGTCTGCACATGACCCTGAGGCAGAAAACAAGGAAAAGGTGTGCCCCTGCCTGATGTGATTCACTCCTGTTCTGGCAATATCTTGAATGTACCTGCCACAGCCTGAGGGAACAGCCTACAAATGCCACCAAAAACAAACGGACCCTCAGTCCATACTCTGCTGATTTAGATGTCGTGGAACGGTGGCGATAATCAGCTCTAAGGGACCTTTCGTCTTAATTCCAGCGTGTTTCTTCTTCTGAAATAGCATTTGCAGCTGCCCCTTGCTGGCTTTACAGTGACTGTCCTCCATATTAGCCTGCCTCGGGCTGCCAGCTCCAAGCCCACTTCTCTATTTTTGCTTCTTAGCTGCCCTTTGCTTGACTCAGAGCTCTGTGCAATCTTATATTCAAGGTGTCTACGACGTCCTTTTTTCTAAATTGGTTCTCTGGTATGGCATGCTTTCAGATGGATATCATCCCAGTGCTTTCTCTCTTGGCACCGTGCCTCATCCCTAAGCCATGAACTTTGCGAAAAGCTCTGCTGCTCACCTCTGCACAGTTCGACATGTGGTACCCATGGGTTGTAGAGGAAATAGGACAGTTGTTTTGTGATTGTGGATGTAAAGGGTCAGGGATCCCTACCTCCAGTATACTTCATCTGCCCCACTGAACAGCAGGAAAAATCACCCTTTAAATCTGCCCACTTTTCTATCTGATAAACAATCACTAATCAGGAATAAAAATGTTGACTTTCCATTCACTCAACCTGTCCAGTACTTTCTCCTCACCTGAGCACCCAGGATCATCTTCATGCCTGTGAGATGAATGGAAGCTTTTCCCAGCAGCTGATTGAGGTGGGTGAATTCCGAAGCCTAGGAACTGTCTGAACATCATAACATCAAGAGAGGCAAGTAAAGATATGTTGCAGGCAAACTTTTCCAGACGGCTTCCCTGGACTCCCAGTGTTCATGGCCCCACCCCTGAAATAAGCTTCCTGAAAGCCACACAGACATGTGTGTCCCTGTCTTGTTATCCAACTCAGAGTTGGCGAAGCTGGGAACTTCAAGCCAGAGGCCTCATGCTACACACTGTTTACAGGTTTCTAAGGAGAGTTCCTGTGTGCTTAGCTTGGTGGCCTGGTCCAACCCGGCTGAGAGTGTCCAAAAGAGCATAGCCCCTGGGTTCCAGACCCAGCTGCAGGGGTTAATCTCTGTCCCTCTACTCCCTTGTAAATAGCAGTCTGGTGAGTGCAAACCTGGGCCATCCTCCCTGTCCTACTGCAGGGCAGTAAAGGTTTTGAGAGACTTGGCCTTTCTTGCATGATACATGTCCCTTCTCTGCCTCCCTTGTCCCTTCTCCCAAGACTTTTCTATTCTTCCTCTGCAGGATTCAGTGGAGGCCTGCCTCTGGTCCCCTTCCTGTTTCTCCTGCCATTGCTGCTGCAAGCGCAGCTCTTTGCAGTCTGGCCTGTGGATCCAGTCCAGGCCTTGAGGCTTAGTTCTAGCTTTTCATCCTTGACACCTCCATTTCCCAGAGCATTCCAGATGAGGTTATGTCTGTCTGTGTGCATTCACATCTGGTGCTGGAGTGGAGAAGAGGGGGAGTGGGGATACCTGGCCCATAGACTCGGTTGTCCACAGTGTACCCATCATCCTACCATGGGCTCTATGGTGTTTAATGCTTAGCACATGCAGTACCTTAGCACATCTGGCTCAATGGCTTGGGAACCGAGCTTTTCAAAGATCCTGATGAGAAGCGAGTGCAGGACACTGCCACTGGTCCTGAGGATCCTCTGGCAAAAGGTCATGAGTGTCTGGAGCATCCCTGCCTCACACATGACCTGGCGGTTCTTCTCTGATTTCACCAGGGACAAGAGGTGACTGGCCATAGAGCACTGGATCTCCTCAGAAAGCTAGGAGGTGACCAAAGCAAGCTGTAAGCCTAGGAGAGCAGAATGTCCTCTGTGTGGCTTTGTTAGGCCACCTGTGCCCCCTCCCCCCACAGCTACTTCTACCCCAGCTGTCTCAGCTGTTCTTCTGAATGCTAGCCTCACCTGCAATGACAAGCCAGGAAGGGCAGCCACTGGGGTCAGCCACCAACTCAGACTGTGGGCTGCATAGAGGCAGGAGGGAGTCTAGGTCGTCCTCAGAAATGTGTCGTTGGGACCATTTAAAATTGGAAAACTTGGGGCTGGAGAGATGGCTCAGAGGTTAAGAACACTGCCTATTCTTCCAAAGGTCCTCAGTTCAATTCCCAGCAACCACATGGTGGCTCATAATGAGATCTGGTGCCCTGTTCTGGCCTGCAGGCACACATGCAGGCAGAATACTATATACAATAATAAACAAATAAATCTTTAAAAAATTGGAAAACTTTCTGAGTTGATTGCTAACACTGAAAAATCTAAAGATTTCATATCAAAATCAAAACACACAGCTTCTATGAAAGGTGGGAAAGTCTTGTCATACAGATTTATGGCCTTCTATCGGAAAGCCACTGGTCCTGGAGAGTGGCCACTTAAGCTGACCCACAGCCCCACGCTGGATTCACTCACTGGATTTCGACATTTTAGTTTGTAGCCCTGAGTACAAAAGGTAGGATCCACCCTAGTTGAAGGAGCCAAAAAAGAGTCAATACACACACACACACACAGAGAGAGAGAGAGAGAGAGAGAGAGAGAGAGAGAGAGAGAGGGAGGGAGAAATGGGGAGACAGAGAGACGGAGACAGAGACAGGGACAACACTCACTACCGGCTCCGGCAGACACCATCTTCATAGCCTGCTTTTAAGCCATACTGAAGGTTGACATGGCAGCTAGTCATCAACTCCACACCAAGGCATTTTCTCTGGCCTTCTCTTAGCCATAGCACACTGTGCTCCACAGACATGGCACCCCATCTTACTCTTTCAGGCTCAAGATCCTTCACTTTCTTTGCGTCCCTCAAAGCACAGGGAGCACAAAGTGTGCAAAGCAGTCATCTGAGTGAGGATAGTGTGTTATTTTGTCATCTCCTTCCTTCATGAGAGCATGAGGCCTCCAGTGATACAGACCCAGGGCCAGGGGCCTGCATTTTCCTTAATAAAAAAGGACAGTCTCTATTCTGGGAAGATAAAGTTCCAAGTGAAAAGATTATCAGTTAGACCTTGCTACAAGGGACTTCCTGCTTTTTGTGAGCAATGTGCTTAACAACGCCCCTGCTCTGGATGGGTGTCCACTGTGAGACAGTAACCGCCCAGGGCCCACAGAGTCCCTCATGCATACATGCACAGGAGCACATACGTACACATACCTACATATGTATGTACACACCTGATGTACACAGGCATGCATATGCGTATATATACATGCATAACAGTACACAAGTGCATGTACACACACACACACACACGCACACACACACACAAGCACACCAGAGCATATCTTGTGAGGACAGCATCCTCCAGACTCTGGTGCGATTTCCCTTTCAGAGTGCCGTCCACTTGGCTCAAGCAAGGACCCAGCCCCCCCCCCCCCCCGCACCACTGTGAGTCCCGGTCTCCCGTCTCCTGAGTGCTCAGCTCACAATAGACCCGTTCTGATCCCAGACTCCACTTCCTGGTACAATGACCCGAGGCGTCATCACCCTTTCTGTATTTTAAGTCTTTGCTCTAGTTTGTGGTTTAAGAAATCCCACTCCAGTGCCAATGAGGTGGCATTACGAGAGCATAGTGAAGCTGGGAGGAACCACAAAGGCTAAATACAGTCATCTCCAACCCTCCCATGACAGAAGGATTCCAGGACTCCCCCGCCAGCGCCAAAACCCACAGGTGCTTTACATAAACATCATGGTGTTTTCGCTTACCCAGTGAGCATCATCCTGCACCTTCAAATTGTCTTTAGATGACTTGGGATACTCAATACAGTACAAATGCTGTGCCATCAATGTTCTGCTCCATTGGGAATAATGACAGGAAGCAAAGCCCACATGCTCAGGACGCATGCCTCATTTTCTATCCCTGGAATATGCGGATCCAGAGGCCGGCTGTGATACCTCTCTCATGAGACTGGCAGCTGGTCTCCCCAAGTCACAGACACTTGCTACTCCCATCCTCTATAGAGGTTTCCTGGAACCTCCCCACTCCTTTCTTTCTCTTGTTCCTCCAACAGGTACTAAGGGCCCTAAACTGGTAAGGCAGACACTGCCTGTTCTCAAGAGATTTATGGACTAAAGGTGACAAGGGTGAGAAGCCAGGGAGATGGTCGGTACACAGTGATGGACATGCAATAACAGGATTCGATGTCTTGGAGCGCAGAGATTCCCATAGCCCTGAACACGTCTCATGGATTGTAAAAGGTAGAAGGGAGGATGTTTACTTTAAGGGCCACATTTTACCTGTGGCATCAGTAATTCCTGGACACTTAGGACGTGTTCTCAGGGTTCCAATGTGAGTAGACTGTGTAATCATGATGCCATATGAGAAAGCTGAGCTCAGAGAAGGTAAATTACTCAGAGCCACACGGCAAGTGACTGGGCTTCATGCTCAGAATCACCTCACTGCATCATCTTCTTGCCAGATGCAGCCATTTGAGTAGCTTTGTGCCCCAAGACAGTCAAGCATATCTTCCTGTCATTGAAGGACAGAAAGGACTAACACTGGTGCTTGGCTGGCTTGCGATTTTGCAGCGTGTGGGTTTCAACAAGGAAAGGATACATTTGTGTTATTTGCTACTAGCACAAGCTATATAAAAAACAATGGTTCCCACAGCCAACCTCAAGACTTACCTACCTGGCCCCTGTAACTCCTGTCTCAAACTTAGGACATTCAGTAATTCTCCTTTCTTTTCACTCCCTTCCCTACGTGTGGTGGTGTGTGGTGTGTGTGAGTCTGTGTGTGTGTGAGAGAGAGAGAGCACACTCGTGTGTTTGTATGAGCACATCGGCGTGCCACTTCACGTATTTGGAGGTCAGAGAACAACGTCAGCATCTGTCGTCACCTTCTATCTTAAGACAGGGTCTCTTGGCTGTGTTTTTCATAGCCACACAAGCGTCCAGGGGTTGTCTCTTTCTGCCTCCCATCTCCCAGCAGTAGGGATGCTGGGACTACAGAGGCAGAGACAGGAATTCGAGCTCTTAGACTTCTGTGGCCAGCTCTTTTACCCTGCAGTTCCCTCCAGCCATTCAATGTCTCCTGTCTAAGTTACCTTTAGTAATACTTCTGTCTTAAAAGCTGGAGGTATACAACCGTGTCAAAGAGACTTCAATGATTTCCCTGCTGAGCAGGATATTTGCTATTCAAAAATGTCACTATTTTGTCAATACCACTGTTAGCTGACGCTGAAGACATATCTCACCATGAAGAGAAGATGGTTGGAATTAGCCTGGTTTCTGTTATTGTAGTGAGATTGCTGGTACTCTACACACACATACACATTTTTAGCTTGTGTTTCTGGAGGGTCAAGGCCATGATTTGTGCTTGGCTCTGGTTATAGCATACCTACTTGGCTGAGTCACATTCTGATGGCACTATGGCAAGGACAGAAGAAAGGGTGGGAGATCACGAGGTGAGACAGGAAGCCGGAGATGACAAAAGAACCAGTTTTTCTCTTTGAGACAACCTGCTGGCTATTTTCTTTCAAAGGCAATGTCCCCAGTGGCCTCTCCCTAGGCTCTGCCTCTTACAGGCCCCACCACCTCAACACCACCCCAGTGGGAATGGCGCTTCCAGCACAGGAACCCTTGAGGGGTATATTCAAGCCATTCCTGAACTATAGCAGGCTTCCCTTTAAATGTGATCTCTGGTGGTCTGAGCTTACTGATACCTGTGCTCAGCCCAACAGGGGCCAGGATCTAAAAGCAGTGATGCTGAAGATGGTATGTGTAAGACAACTCCAGAACCATTGCTGGTACTTCCAAGACCTCTTCTATGTGGAAACACATCAGCTTTCCTGACTCGTTTTCCTACATCTTTCTTCTGAGGCTCTTTCTCTCGCTGCATCCACGTGAAAGTTATCTCCTTTCTGTGCTCCTGACAGCAGAGAGGGACCATGCCTCCTCCCGCCTTGACCATTGTCTCTACCAGAATATGAGCTGTCATTTGGTAACTGCACTCTTTTAATTTAGGGTGAGAGTTGGGGAGACAGTCTGTATGAAGCAAGATGCAAAAATAATATCAGAATGTATTATTAATAAGAATTAAAAAGAAATGTCTCCAATCTCCAATTTCTCATTACCAGTAAGTATTTCCTTATTGCTTTTGGGACTTTGACTTTGTTTGTGTGTGTGTGTTTTCACTCCCTTCCCCCAACCAGAGAGGTATAATTACAATCTAAATATGCAAAAAGGAAAAGAAAGAACAAGTTTTCAAAGGGGAAATGCTGATTCTGTCTAATGTTGCCACAAGTTCACTCCAAAACTGCTCAATACCCCATAATGGAGGAGGCAAAATTGATTGTCTTCATGATCACTGCAGCTCCATCAATACCAATATTGTCTTGTTTTGAATAAAATGTGCTGGTTTCTTTTTTCAATGCTGGTTCCAGTAAAGTGGGGTTTTAGTGAAAATATGAGCAGTAGCAGGAAACCAGTCTGGTTTCTCCCTCTGAAAATGGATTGATTTCCCTAACGCATAATACTTCCAATGCAGGAAAGGGGAAGGTGGTTCAATTAGGACTCTAAGGTAAGGGCAAGGGTCACCAGGCTGGCTGGCGGTTGGACTCTCAAAGCTAATTCACAAAGCAATTGTGAGGTGGCCCCAAGTCCGTTTTTACTTTCTCCACTTAACAGTCAAGACTTAAGACCCTCCTGGAGTATTTCTTCTTTTCTGCCCAACTTTCTTCCTGGTCCACAATAAGTCCCAGAGTCTAGAAAGAACTGGGTCTCAGTGTGAGGGTGACATCATTTAGACGTGGCTTGTCCCCTGAGGGACTATGTG